TATCATATCAATATTGTTTAAATAGTAATTAGTTTTTATGTAGATAAACAATTCGATTAATAATATAAGTGTTGATTTCAACTACTAATATTTTATACTTATTGTATTTGATGCAGATAGATTAAAAATATATAATATGTGCCTAACGAACATATTATGCCAAACCCAACAATATTTTATTAATACTTCAACTTATACAAACAAATAAACTAAGCATAAGAGAACAAATATTCGAATGCTCAAAATATTAAAACCAAATAATGGAAAACAGAAAGTTATTCAATAAAACATTGAATAATAACAAATTCATAAACTGCAGAATATATGAGATCACATCTTCCCATTTTTACCTCACTCTTTGCCAACAGCTTTACCACCACCACGTCCTCTAGTTCGTCCCTTTGCAACACCTTCATTGGATTCACTTGTCAGAAGAACGTTCACTAAAACACTATCACTCTTCAGTGTATCCTCATCAATTACTTCATTCGCATATAACGTTTCCACACTACTCACACTATTAAATGACTTCTTAGACAACAAGGATGAGTCGACGGAATCTTTAGGATCATCTCGCTCACGCTTTAATAAAGGAGTTTTGATATTGCCAGAAACATCATCCAAAGACTCTTGGCTATGTGTGTTCATCAGTGATGCCTATAAATAAAAGATTTTCAAGATATAGTATTGTCCCAAAAATATAAAAAAATCCATTCACATGATTTGAATTTTACCTGATTGCCAGATATGAGTAAACTCTGATCACCCTCATCTTCAGATTCATTCACTTCATCAAAGGTGGTAGTCAAAACCTGATTGCCTTTTCAAATCTTTCTGACCTTGTATGTATTACTACCACCGTAGAGATTTTCTTTCTCAACACAAATTAGAAACTGAAAAGTCTTCCCAACCAAGTTTTGCAGTGCATCAGGAACGACATCCGGATCTTGTATCTGTGTTGAAAAATACTAAGTATTTGGGAAATGATTTAATATAAAACTTAATGAAATAAAATACATAAAGTGTATTATACCTCATCGTATGTCCCTTTTAAAATTTCATCCGCAGATTGGTTGACCATATCCTTTGCATTTGAATAAAAAAAAAACTTTTGATCTTGCTGGTGTTGTCCATGACACAAAGATGGAGTTTGTATCTACAATATAATTTAAATGTAAACATGTGATTATATGTTTTTGGCACACATGTGATTATACTCACTTTGTATTACACAAGTCGAATTCAAGCTTGCTGGTGTCTTTGTACATAACCGGGATTGTTTTCAGTTCACGTACACTTTCAACTCGTCCAATAACATCTGATATTTTGAAAAATGACGTCAGATGAATACGTATATAAATGTAATAAACTAACTATATATATATAAGTAAAAAAACTCACCAATCAAAAAACTTGTACTGGTTGCATCGTTCAAGATTGTACCAAAATCTAAGAACTCAAAAAACCGACTGTCAGATCGATTAGCACTTTTGCTGACAACGGTGGATGCAATGAAGGACATCTTGAATTGATGCCTTGTGGCCTGGTATTGACCTGACGCCTGGTTCAATGCAAAGTTCTTGATGAGCTTCCATTCACCGACAACCATCATCCGCTCAAAACGATGCAACAGGTTTTTCTTGACAGTAGCTGTAAATAAAAAAAAGTTTATAAGTAAACCATTAATAGTTAGTAAAACGAAAAATGTAATTTCAAATCCACTTGATCATACCATTTCATTTGCGAGAATGTTTTCCAAAGACTCTCCACTCTTAGTCTGGTATTTCTTCCAAGTGTGAAGTACATTCACCTGCACCTTCCACCCAGTCTTGAATGGCTTTAAGTCAGCCAAATGTAGTAACCTCATGTTGGAAGTCATTGTGCAGTGAACTTAAAGTTAAGAAAGTTGTAGTTGATTTGGCGTGAAATGGAATACGTAGTGTCGTATTTATAGTGAAACAATATAGAGTTTTTGCAATACCGTTGAGTTGTATGTAAATTGGTGGCCAAGTATATTTTTTTTTCAATTCAAATTGAACACAATATTGATTTGGAAATAGTGAATCCTAATTTTTTTTGTGAAGTAGTTGTTATTGAGTATCTATACGGTTATGCAAAATAAATTGGGATAATATTCAATAACAAACTAATAGCATATTCTCATCGATCGATTGACATTTAGCAATAGCTCAGAATAAAATTTGAGAATTTTGTTCAATGCCGTTAAGAGATAAGATATATTGGCGGCGAAGTATAATTGTTCAAATTAAATTAAATACAATATTATGGCAAATAGGCAAATACGTCATTTTTGAAAGTTGTTATTATTGTGTTAATATTCGGGTATGCGAAAAAATTGATTTGAAGATTTGAAGATTTTCTTTTATATTTTGAATTCAAGAGTCTCTCATGCGCTTTAATTAATATGTAATCATATTTATTACGATATCTATTTTATTTCTCCCGATTATTAGGAGCTAAATATTTCAAAAAATATTACATCTTAAACTATCATTAATTTCTTAAAATATAAAACAGGTCAAATTTTAGGATCAACGTCCTTTTAAACGGATCATTTTAAAAGGACGCAGATCCTCTTTAGTTTCAGTTTTGTTGTTTTGTTTATGGAATACATTTTTTTATAATGGCATTCATTGTCATATACCACGTAATACCGAAGTCAAAGATTTAAATGTATTGTTCCTATTATAAGATATTAACATGGATTAATATTAATTTTTTGGCAAACTAATACTTTGAAAATAACACGAACTAGTATTTTTTGTGTAAAGCTCAATTTAGCTACAAGTATAACTATCTTTGTATACTAATACACTTTATGGTATATGAATATAGATATGCTTACTGATACACATTCATATCTATAATTAAGGATAAAATTGTATGTTTCATTTCTCAGTGAAAACTGAAAATTTGTGATGTGCTCAAAATAAAGAGGTGCTTATTTGGGTAGGGAAAAAAAAAACGTACTAGTATTATTGGACAAACAAATATGCTCACTTGAATTATTTATTTGCCCATTTGATTACAGTGGTCCTCCTGCGTCTTCCATGGACCACAGATTTTTGGACCTCCCTGAAAGGGGACCATGAATTTAGATTTGACTTCAAAGATTTCGTTCAAAAAGTAGAACCACTAGTCTCTTCTCTTAGGTTCCTCTACATAGCCATAAGCTATCTATATAATACTTATGTGAGCCAAAACTCGCACAACCAGAAATTTGTTTAAGGAAAACTAAGGGATTGGAAACTTCTAAGGTTTATCGCCAAAAACAGTAAGATCGAAAGAAAGTTTTTCTTGCTGTAAAAGTGTTTAGCTCTTATTGCTTAGGGTTGCAAAAGTTACAGAATGAATTGTATACATCATCTATTTATACTAATTCTCCGAACCGCCTAGCCGAGAATCTCGGGAGAGATTTCCAGAATTTTTTCTTATCGCCTCGTGCGGCTCACCACCTTTGTATTTCGCGTAGGGTTTTTATGGGCTTCGTCTCTTAAGGCCTTGGTTCAGCCCATTTGAACTTTTCCACGGCTCGGCCCATCTAACTTCTCCACGGCTCGGCCCACTTGCCATTTTAGTCGAGACATGATCCGGTCCACCTCACCGAGGCGCGGCTCGGCCCAGGCATGTTGGAGAGGGGCTCGGCCCATTTCTTACGATACGGCTCGGCCCATCTGTCTTTCTTCACGGCTCTCCCCACTGGTCTATCTTCACGGCTCTCCCACTTGGTGATCACGGCTCTCCCACTTGTCTTGGTGAGAACGGCTCTCCCACTTGTCTTGGTAAGAACGGCTCTCCCACTTGTCTTGGTAAGAACGGCTCTCCCACTTGGTGACCACGGCTCTCCCACTTATCTTTCTTCCATACTTAGTCATTTTGAGATGGTTTTATCCGCTTGGGGTGAAAACCGACCCCAACAGTTAGCCCCCCCCAGCTCGTCAGTTTCGGAGGCGAGAGTGACGAGGTCCATTACTCCTGACCGTAGGATAAACCATCGAGTCAATCTGTTATGGCGTAAGCCCAGATGAGGTGTTTTGGAAATGAAGACGCCGAGGCATTCCCAAGGAGTGCCGAGGGTGCCGAGGTGTTTCAGAGGGTACCAAAGATGCCGAGGCGATTTCGTTTTAGTAATGATGAGCCGTGACGAGGTGATTTGAGAAGGTTATGCCGAGCCGAATAAATGGCGAGGCATTTCGAGAGAAAGTTCGTGCCGAGCCGTTTTGTTAACAACGAGGCGTTTCGAGTGAAAGAGATAATGCTGAGCCGTTTCGTTAACGACGAGGCGTTTCGAGAGAAAGAGTTAATGCCGAGCCGTTTCGTTCACGACGAGGCGTTTTGAGTGAAAGAGTTAATGCCGAGCCGTTTCGTTAACGACGAGGCATTTCAAGAGAGAAAGTTCGCGCCGAGCTGTTTCGTTAACGTCGAGGCGTTTCGAGAGAAAGAGTTAATGCCGAGCCGTTTCGTTAACGACGAGGCGTTTCGAGTGAAAGATTCCTGATCTATTGGCGCGTGTTCAGGTTACCCATTTCACTGCGGATCCCACGCTCTGTTTGGACGGTTTTCCGAGGTTTACGCGGAATTCACGCGCTTCGGTTTTCCTATAAATGGGTGAGCTCCTTCATTCTTCCTCATTATCGTCAGACTCACTCGTTTTTACTAAAGGTAGCTCTCCTTTCTCTCTTCTTTCTCTCTCTAGTTTATTTATTTTCTGGCTAGGGTTTCCGAGGTCTCCGCCGTTCCAGATCTTTTTCCGGCAGAGGCTCGCCGAGTCGTGCTGTAACTCTTGTACAAGTCGTAAATTATATCGAGCCGCTCCGACGATTCGTTGGATTCACTTTTTCATTACAAGCCGAGCCGCGTAGATGCCGAGGCGAGAGGTCCGACAGAATCCTCCGAAGCATCTGTTTCGCCGAGCTCCTCCAATTGTTCATCTGACGAGGCGTCAAATCATGTAAATCCGTCAGATTTCGGCTCTCTGGATGACGAGCCGTCGGTTTCGACGAGCCGTCCCCAGGATCCCGTTCCTGATGAAGGCATTAATCGCGCCGCATTTTAAGGCCGAGGAGGAGGCATTTCTCTTTGACCTTTTCGAGGCGAAGCGTGAATTGGAGCGTCTCATGGCGTCCCGAGGCGCTTCCACATCCGGGCGAGGGCCACGAGTTAAGAGACAAAAACCTGACCCGCCTGGCTCTACGCTTTGCTCCCTTGAGTCGCTCGAGGCGTTGAGGCATCGCTTCGGGATATCCGAGGCGGTGGAGTTCGTCGTTCCAGAGAAGAGTGACCGAGCCGACAAGCCTCCAGAGAATGATTTCACTCTGTACGAGGCGTTCTTCGAGCTTTGCTTCCTCTGGTTCCCGATCCCCGGAGTGATCCTTGAATATCTCTGGAAACACGGGATCTCGATTGGGCAAATCATGCCGAGGAGATTACGGCATATGATTGGCATCTTAGTTCGAAGCTTCGAATCCGGACTTGATATCGAGCTGAATCACCTGCTGAACTTGCTGGAAATCAGGAAAGCTCCGAAAGGAAATAGATTCTATATTTCCAACAAGGTGAAGCGACGGATCATCGGCGGTTTTCCCAGCAAGGATCAGTTTTGGACTGAACGCTTCTTCTACGTCTTGGTGAACGAGGCGTCGGTCGACGAGGATTACGTTCAAAGAACCAAGACCGCTTGGGGACCACTTGGTAGCCGACCCGAAGCTTTGCCTCGGCTCGGAACTGTTTTTTGGTATCCTCTTCCTTTACTGAAAATTTTCTTTTTTTGCTTTGTTTTGCAGTTCGGTGAATTCTTCCCCCATTCCCGACGACCTCTTTACTGTTCAAGACTCTCTTTCGGCGCGGAAGGTTAATTGGAGGAAGAATTTCACCCTCGAAAGAGTGGAAAAAGCGCGAGCCATCCTTGCCGGAGTCCCGGTCAGCTCTTCGTCGTCCAGTTCTTCAAGAGATACCCAAGAGAAGATGGTGATAATCGCTCTCAGATAAAGGAAGAGGCCACGAGGCGAGCTGCCGAGGCGGCTCAAGCGCAGACCGAGGCGGTTCCAGCACAAACTGAGGCCGTCCCTCAACCCGACCCGCCCAGCCGGGAAGGAGACGAAATGGTCCGAGCCGGAGAAGGCAACACTGCCGAGGCGGTCAAGAGAGACGCAGCGCCCGAGGTGGAACCGGGCGAAATTATTCCCGAGGCGTCCGGGGATGATTCGGCGGTGCGGAGCAAAACTCCTTCGAACTCTGCCATTTTAGCCCTCCCGAAGTCGACGAGGCCCCCGACTTCAGTCGTTCAGAAACATGACCCGAGCCAAAAACGTTCGGCCGCTGACAAAGGGAAGGGCGTTGCCGTTCAGAAGGACGAGCCGTCTAAGAAGAGGCGGAAGCCGACGCCCGGAGACCCCACCGCGCGCAAGTTGGTCGTCGACGACCCCAACGCCTCTGCCGTCATGTTCTCGCGTGTAAATAACGCGAACACGCGTCTTCCTCCTCCGGAGAAGTTGAGGAGGCCCGAGGTCGTACGGCGCGATGGCACAGCGCGGTACCAAGGTACGTTCTATTTGCTTTCCTTCATTTAAGCAAATTTTACTAAGTGTTTAAGGCGAGTTTGTTCTTTGCAGTTTGTCGCGGCCATTAACGACCTGATGGCCGAGTACGAGGCGGACCTGTCTGAGGTCGAACGTCGCTTGACCGAGGCCCGAACTGAGACCGCGGCGTCAAAGGCGAAGCTGGAAGAGGTTCAGAACGAAGCCGCGACGGCAAAGGGGAAACTGGACGAAGCCGCGACGGCAAAGGTGGAGGAGGGTTTGACCAAGCTCGAGAAGGCCAAAAATGACAAGAACGATCTGGGGAAAATCAAGGGCAACCTTGCGATGATTGCCGTCCTGAAGAAACCAGACGCCCCGACGCTCGATGATGAGGAGGCGCAGCTAAAGAGCTGGGAGAGCGAATATGCTGATGACGACGCGTATGAGCGTATTGCCTCCGAGATCCAAGGCGAGCTGGTTTTCTCGTCCGTATCGCCGGATTGGATTCGGTCGACACCAGCCTTGGTAACGAGCCGCTCGAAGAGACAGCGGCCAACTTAGGCATCGTAGATCCGAACGGATCGAACGCGGGCACGCCGGTCCTCTCGAACCTCCTTGTCGAGCGTGAAACGCAGTCCGCGGCCTGATACTCTCTGCTTTTCCCTGTTTTGTCTTTCATGCTTCTGTACTTAGGATTTTTATCTGCTTTCTGAACTTTTTTTGTAACCGGTGCCTGGACGGCTTTATCCACCCGACATTTATTTTTGCTTATAGATATATTCTCTTTCCCTTAGCCGTTTTAGGATTTGATGCACTTATTTTTAACGATCTGTGCGAATATCTGTGAAAACCGTTGGCTTAGAGAAAATTGTCGAGGATGAAAACTGCTGCGTCGAAAATAATTTTGATTGTTTCCTTAGCCGAATTTTTCAAAGTCGATAGAAATACGGGCTAAAGGTCGAGTCGTTTAAGGATCTCGTTTGGATTCTTAATCCCGAGCTGGGAGTTAGTTTTGTGGAACATCTTTTAGGTGATGCTGGAAAGTTTTTAAGTAATAATGTCGAGGCAAATTTTTGCTGGCAATGCCGAGCCGTATTTAACGACGAGGCGTTTTCGCTGTGCATGGTGCCGAGCCGTGTAAATGACGAGGCGTTTTCGCTTTCCATGGTGCTGAGCCGTGTAAACGACGAGGCGTTTTCGTTTTGCATGGTGTCGAGCCGTGTAAACGACGAGGCGTTTTGTTTTTGTTAGCCAAGGATGGACCGGTGTTTCCGAGAGGATGAGTATGTTTATCCGGGTTTTAAGAGTTTACTTCGGTTTTAGAGAAAGCGATGTAGTCTCGACTTATATTCTCGTGTGCGATAGTAAACCGTGGCGACCTGATACGTTTTTGGTCTGATATTTGTATAGCGCGCTTAATTGTTATCCGTAGAGGATGTAACTTGCACCCTCGTCCTAGGAAAGGTGGTAAAATTCCGTTTAGAGAACTTTGTATTTGTTGCCCCGTTGTGGCCAGCAACGAGACGAGGCGTTCGGAGGCTTAGTTTGCCGAACTGAAACTGAGGACCGATTAAAGTCCGAGGTAATCAGGTCATGATATCATGCCGAAGTGGTAAGTGAAACAATTTAAAAATCCGAGCTTGTTAAATAAGTTGCTGATTTAGAAAAAATGGGAGACTAGCTGAAGCGATAATGAACGAACTAGAAATCAGAGGTAAACGTGAAATAAGTAGATGATTATTAAAAACGAACTGAGAATGTGTCGAAGTGGCGATGTTCCTAAGTGAGCAAGTTAAAATTGTAGAGTTAAAGGAGGTATGTGTATACGTACCCACTCCCCCCTTTTTTAGGAGGGGGGACAGCTGAACCCGTCCGAGGACGGGCCTACGTACCCTTTGCAGGGATCAAGCCGTCCCGTAGTTCATGCTAGCTGTGCTGTAGCTTTAGTGATAATACTTCTTTAGATGCATTGTGTTCCATGATCTTGGAATCGCTTCGTCAGCTAGTGTCGCGAGTTCGTAGACTCCTGGACGAACCACTTTTGTGACCTTGTAAGGACCTTCCCAATTTGCTCCGAGCTTTCCTGCGTTCTTCTCGGCAGTGTTTTCGAAGACCTTTCGGAGGACGAGCTCCCCTGCTTTGAATCTTTGGCTACGAACTTTTTTGTTGTAGTATCACGTCGTTGCTTGTTGATAGTTCTGGATTCGAATTAAGGCTTGGTCGCGCTTTTCGTTGATTAGGTCGAGCTCATCTAGCATCATTAAGTGGTTCAAGCCCTCCTGTCCTGGTAGAAGTCTTCGTCAAATACCTGGGAAATCCACCTCGGGGGGAATTACGCACTCCGATCCGTAGACCAAAGCGAAAGGAGTTTCCCCGGTGGCTCGGCGCGGAGTTGTCTGATGAGACCAAAGGACTCCTTCGAGTTTGTCTGCCCACCGTCCCTTCTTGGCGTCGAGCCTCTTTTTCAGACCGTCGAGGATCGTCTTGTTGGCTGCTTCGGCTTGTCCGTTCCCTTGAGGGTATCTTGGCGTAGATTTGCTGAGGCGGATTTTCCACTTCTCGCAGAAGGCTTCGAAGCGTGTTGAGATGAACTGGGATCCGTTGTCGGTGACTATCTCGTAGGGGACCCCGTGTCGGCAGATGATATTTTTCCAGACGAAGTGTTCGACTTGAACATCGTTTATGCTTGCGTAGGAATCGGCTTCGACCCACTTGGAGAAGTAATCCGTGAGGACAAGCAGAAAACGCTTCTGCTTCCAGCGATGTAGAGGTCCGACGATGTCCATCGACCATCTCATGAACGGATAAGGTGACGAAATTGACGAGAGCAACTCGGTAGGTTGATGAATTGTTGGAGCGTGCCGCTGACACTTCTCGCACTTCGCCGTAAATTTCTCGCAGTCCTTGACCATCGTGGGCCAGAAGTAGTCGTGCCGTTTTATCTTGATAGCGAGCGACCTTCCGCTGGAATGGTTCCCGCACGCGCCGCTGTGCACCTCGTGCATGATCTTTCTTGCCTCCGGTCCTTCGACGCATGTCATGAGAGGCCCTGAAAATCTCCATTTAAACACATCGCCATCGACGAGGACATACCACGCGGCCTGAGCTTTTAGTTTGCGGGCTTCCCATTTATCGGTTGGCACCTCTCCATCATCGATATACACTCGGATAGCTCCGAGCCATTCTTTGTCGCAGCCGTACTCCGGCTCGGCCGGTAAGGCGTCTTCATCCATAGGAATGGCTTCGTCGTCCTCTGGTTCTTGTTCAGGAGGATTTATCAGCCGAACTTCTTCCACCTCTTCGATGCTAGGATGTTCGATGAATTCGACTGGGATCGTCTGTCGGAGGTCTGGGTCCGAGGTCGAAGCGAGTGCTTCCAAAGCGTCGGCCAAGGTGTTTTCTCCTCGGGGAATGTGCGTGAATTCGAACTCGTCATACTTTTGCACCAACTCTCGGACCACCTTGAGGTAAGCTCCCATTCGTCCATCCTTCGCTTCGTATTCTCCGTTGAACTGAAATGCTACGAGCTGTGAATCGCAAAAGGTTCTTATCTTTCGAACTCCGGTTCCCTGCGCTAGTCGTATGCCGGCGAACAATGCTTTGTATTCCGCTTCGTTGTTCGAGGCGTGAAAGTTCAGGCAAAAAGACTGCTCCAATACTTCTCCGGTGGGAGAGGTGAGGCGAATACCTATTCCCGAGCCGTGTTTAGACGACGAGCCGTCGACGTGCAGCGTCCACACTTCGTATAGAGTCGGCTCGTTTGTTGCTTCGGCGGGAAGTTCAATGAGGAAATCTGCGAGCACCTGTGACTTTGCAGATGACCTGTTCCGATACTCGATGTCGTATTCGCTTAGCTCTATGGCCCACTTGGCGAGCCAACCGGATTTTCTAGGGCTGTGTAGGATCGAGCGCAGCGGAAGCGTAGCGAGCACAACAATCGAATGTGATTGAAAGTACGGGCGCAATTTGCGAGCCGAGACTACGACGGCTAGGGCGACCTTCTCGATCTGGGGGTAGCGGGTCTCGGCGTCGGTCAGTGTCTGGCTGATGTAGAAAATGGGTTTTTGCTCGGATCATTCTTCTCTGATAAGCACTCCGCTTACAGCTGTAGCAGACACCATGATTTTGTAGCAGTATATCCCGCGATCAGTTATGAATGCCGTTTTTTCTCGATCATCAGGATGCATCAGGATCTGATTGTAGCCGGAGAACGCGTCCATAAATGTTAACAGTCTATTCGCTGCAGTGGCTTCGACGAGCCGGTCGATGTGTGGCAAGGGAAAGCTGTCTTTTGAGCACGCCTTGTTGAAGTCAGTGAAATCCACACACACTCGCCACTTGCCGTTCTTCTTCTTCACGACCACCGGATTTGCAAGCTAGTCCGGATATTTGGCATCGGCGAGTGATCCTACTTTGAGTAACCTTTCGACTTTGTCGTTAACTGCTTTAGCTCGTTCGGGGCCGAGCTCTTTTCTGCTTGACTGGTTTAAAGGTCGGGTCCACATTCAACTCGTGACAGGTCACGTCGATGCTTATGCCTGGCATATCTTCCGCTGTCCAGGCGAAAGTGTTGATGTTTTCCTTGAGGAGGGAAAGGAGTTCGCTTCTCAGAGGCTCTTCCAGTTTTGTTCCTATTTCGACGCATCGCTCCGGGCACGCCTCGTCTATGCACACCGAGTCCACCGCGTCACATACCGGCTTGGCGCGTGTTTGGTGGCTCTATGTGGTCTGTAATTGCTATAAGAGTTTCAAGAGCTCGTTCGCGGGCTCTCGGTCTGTCTTCATCTTTTTGCGGTCTATGTCTGCTCGTGCATCGGTGACGGGGTTCCTCAGCTTGTGCTCGGCTAGGCAGCACATTCGTGACTCCTTCTGATTCCCCCAGATCGTTTTGACACCTGCTGGAGATGGGAATTTGAGGCAGAGATGATAGGTGGAGGGCACCGCCCTCATCCCGTTGATCCACGGAGTTCCCATGATCACATTGTAGATTGCTCGGTGATCAGTAACGCAGAATTCGACGATCTTAGTGACTCCGCCAGCTACCACAGGAAGCCTGATCGTTCCCATAGTCATCGTCATTTCTCCTGAAAGGTCGATTGCTTCCACCTCGGAGAGGTCGATTCCCATTCTTCTGAGTGTTTCCCTGAAGATGACGTTCACTGAGCTTCCAGTATCGATGAGCACCCTTGCTACGTCATGATCCCTGATCGTTAACTCAATCACCAACGGATCGTTGTGAGGTCGATCGATTCCTGCCGTTTCCTCCTCGGCGAAGGAGATCATTGTGTTTGGGATGTCGGTTGGTTATGTCCAATTCTCCTTTGCTTCGGCTTGGCGCTGATAGGCTTTGATGGAGGACACGGTATCTTGGTAGTATTGAGATCCACCCATGATCATATTGATCCTTTGCCTCGGCTCGGGTTGCTCTTCGGGTTTGCCTCTCCTGTCGCGCTTGGAGTTATCGCCTCGTCGGGGAGGATTCGCGGGTTCCGCCGCGCCGCTCGGCTCGGCTCTCTCTTGTTGTTCGTTAGGGACGAGGTCTTTGAGGTTGACCGCGTTTT